AGGGGAGGGGAGGGCAACACACACTGCTCGTCACCGGGGTGGGGATTCAATCAGCAGCGCACTGATTCCCAGTACCAGCTGGCTAGCAGGCACTGGCACTGGCACTGCTGCGTGTCAGTCGTCTGTTTCAGAATAGCGTTTAAGAGGGACTCTCCTATACCTCCCGCATAGCTCCGTCCTTGTTGCACTTATGAGGCAGGTACGATCTCCTGAATCAGACGGCAGTTAGCTCGGCTCTACTATGGCCCTGCCGCTGCCGCCGCGCTCTGCAGTCGCCGCGCTGGTAGGCCAGCCCGGCGCACAGCCCTGTTGGCCGGGACCACCTACCCTCGCACCCGCAGGCGCCCCGCTGTCGGTGGCTTGGCGTTGGCGCGCCCGCCCGGGCAGTACCTTTCTTCAGCTTCATATTCCGATTATTTAAATCCAAATCAAAAGAAAAGGTTTGGGTCCTCAGAGTACGAAGGCTTGTTCGTGCACATTATAAGACTGATTCTTACAGAATATATCTTTATTTTAGACTATAACTGTTAACGAGGTGAAATATTACCCTTGCAACTGTCGCGCAATAAGTCTTTTTCTTTTTGAAAAGAGACCGATGATTATTTGGGCAATCGGATGTGTTACGTTACTACTTTGGTGGAGAGTGTGGACAGACTTAGCGATGGCTTCAGTCGCTGTTCGTGGCACTGGCACAGAGGCCGTTAGTCACTATTACAGCTCAGTTTGAGAGGTCTTGGCACTTTGCTTCGGACTTCGGAGGGGAAGAAAGAAGAAGGCCAATCGTGTCTGTCTGTCTGTCTGTCTGTCTGTCTGTCTGTCTGTCTGTCTGTCTGTCTGTCTGTCTGTTCTGTCTGCCCCACAGTGCCTAGAAGCGCCCAGAGCGTACAAGCCTACGCTACGGCGGTGGCGAAATGTTCGGGTCAAATGCCGAGTCGTTTTGTGAGCAGATGGGTCCGTGCAATAGCCCATTGCGACGATTGCGCGCACCTGCAAAACGACGGCCGGAGCAGGGACAACGACAACGGCCTCGTCGGAATGAGCTTCTGAAAAACAGACCGGAGAGGGGAAGGGGGAGGGGGAGGGGGGGGCACCGAGCGTCCTTGATGTACGCGCGTTCCACAACGCCCCTCCCTCCGGACAACAGCACGGAACATCCGCGAGGCAGCAAGCACGGCCACGGTGGCGAGAGTAGGGGAGGAACTGCGATCCGCGAAGTTGGTTGCTCCTCCTGTCCGCCCGCCCAGGTCGGCCACGCAACTTCCCACAACGCCCCGCCGCGGCCCGGCCCCACCCCGACCCGCCACACCACACCACGCCCCACCCGCCTCCAACTCCAGCACTAAGTGTTTCTGGACAGTTGGCGCCGAATTATGGCCCCGTCCCCGCCAGCGGCGCGCGGCGTGGGTCTGCGTGGCGTGGGGCTCCGCGCCGATGAGGCTGTAATGTCCTTCCCGCTGAGACCCCCACCCCTCCCCCTCCAGCCGCACCCTGCTCTGCTCACACCAGCACCGCATACACAATCACCGCTCTGACGTTGTACCGCTAAATTCGAGGAGTTCTTCACTATAAATTGAGGCGTACACCTTCTTCATATATTTAATTAAAATTTTTATATCATTCCTGTTTTATATTTTTTTATTGTTATTATTTCTGACTTCGTAGTAAACTGATTTAATTTTGCAATGACGTACCCCCACAGCTGCACCTCTCATATATCCCGCTAACAACACAAATCTCCGTCCGCCGTGTCGTTGTTGCAGACGTGAAAGAGGAGGAGCGGCACCCGGGATCGCCGGCGTCGCCGCCGCCGCCGCCCAGGGAGCAGGACGGCGTCGCGGCCGCGGAGCCCGCGCCGCGCCCGCAGCCGGGGAGACTGACGCCGCACAAGCAGCTCCAGCCCGAAAGGCTCACGCCGCCCAAGCAGCTGCCCGGGAGCCTCACGCCCACCAAGCTCCAGCCGCCGCAGACACCGCCATCGCCGCCGGCCTCCACCCTGCAGCAGCAGCAGCAGCAGCATGGCAGCAAGCAGCGCCGCAGCCGCACCAACTTCACGCTGGAGCAGCTCAACGAGCTCGAGAGGCTGTTCGACGAGACGCACTACCCGGACGCCTTCATGCGCGAGGAGCTCAGCCAGAGGCTGGGGCTGAGCGAGGCCAGGGTGCAGGTGAGATCACCTTGCTTCGGAACCCACCCGAGGGTGTGGACTTCCATCTGAACCCCGGTCTAGACAAGAGGCAAGGCGTATAGGGTGTAGGTGAGACTTGGGGTGAAGGTGAAACCACCTCGCCTCGAGGGGGAGCAGAACCAACCCGGGGGTCTGGACAGGGGGAAGGGGGCAGGGACCTTTGGGAGTGCGGGGGCGGGGGCCGGCCCCAAAGCACCCAAAGTGAGAGAAAAACGAGACGGTGTTTCTGGGGTGAGATGTGGCCGGCGATCAGCGTGTCCGCTCTCCAGGCCCCGCCCCTTGGGAGAGCACACACACACACACCCACAACTAGCGCCATTTGAAGCGGTAGAGCACGCCGATGAGGGCACGTCGCGCGAGAGAGTGTTGGCCGTATAAGCGAATCTTGTCCGTGGGCGTGGGCTCTTCTGTGGCGGGGGATAACTCATCGCCACTTTGCGATGGTGAGCGCCACTCCCCGCCACGCCCCACCACGCCCCGCCATCGACTGCTGTCCTTCGTTTGGCTCAATCTATCAGCCTCAATACCCCGATCGGGCGCCGCCCCGCCGACGCCGCCCCCGAAGCTGCCTTTAAAGCGAGCGCAGTGAAATCCCATTGGTATTCGCGGCAAGCGACCCGAGGCGCCCCCCT